CTTGTAAATCAGACCAATTTGGGGTTCAGTAGACAAACTTGGCTATGGGAACTCTCAAAAAGCTTCTATTCATCATTCTTTAATAAATATTTATTTGTTTTAACAAATGTTCATTTAGCTCAATGCTACCACTTACTCTCTGGGTGCCTTTGGACAAACAACTCCCTAAATTTCAGTTCACTCATTTGTAAAAGGGGGATAGTAAAAGTACCTACTTCCTGTGGTTGTTGTGAGGACTAAATGGGTTACTACATGGAAAGTTCTTAGCATAGTGCTGGCACATAGTACAGGCTACATAAATGTTAATGATTAATATTATTATTACACTCAGTTATGCGCTGGGCTTGGTGGATATAAACAGGAGTAGGACATAGAAAATGTATAGTCCCGGAGGGAGGATGAACAATAAATATGTAAATAAAAATGACTAAACACACTTGGTCCAATAATAAAATTTTTGAAGTGTTCTGAGAACATAAATGATTGTCTTGGCATGGCAAATCCATTTAAAATGAAAATAATCAGCCACCTAAATCAAATCAAGTTCGGATAGTCACTCATTGTTTCTCAGTACTGTGATTACTACGATTCCTCCTTATCTTGGCATCTGAAATTTGGAGGTCTCAGGGTTCAAGCCTGTGACCTCTTCTCTTCTGTGGCTCATTTCTTGGTGATCTCAATCCACTCATACTTGTGACATCCAGTTCATGTCTCTAAGCCCAACATGATGCCTGAACTGCAACTGCCTGTGATGTCTAACACTGAGTATGTCTAAATCCAAATTCTCCTGCCCCCACGTCTGCTTCTCTCACAGTGTTTACCATCTGGAAAACAGCAGCTCCATTCTCCCGTTGCCCAGCCCCAAAGCCTTGCAGTTTTCTATGCCTCCTCTCTACTAGTATCTCATGCCTAATAATCAGAAAATTGTGAATTCAGTCACTTCTAAAAGCACTATGACCTCCTCCCACTCAGACTACCACAATAGCCTAACTGACCCCATCTTTCCACTCTTACTTCCCAAAAAGCCATTCTCAGCATAGCACCTAAGTGATCTTTCCAAACATTAAGGATCCATAATATTTCCCTGCCTTACACCCTCCAATGTGTTTCCTTCACTCTGTCTGTTTCACAGCCCACAAGATCCTAGACCACGCAGCTCCAGACTGTCCCTCTGCCCTCCTCCCCTCCACTCTTTGGTTCCCTCCACTACAGCTATGGGCAAAGCAAGCTCTTATTTTACTCTGTGGCCTTTGCACAAGCTGTTCCCTTTTCATGGAATGCCCTTCCTCCAGTTAGCCTCATAGTTCTCTCCCTCCCTCACTGCATTCACATACCTGCTCAATTGTCGCCATCCAAGCTACAACAGCACAGACACCCCAATCTCTAACTGCTTACCCTGCTTTACTTTGTAGTGCCAACATGCTATTATATTAGCTTATTGCCCTCGCTTAAATGCGAACTTCATGGGGTAGAGTCTTCTCATGTCTCCTTCATATCTCCACAGCCTAGAATAATGCCTGGCACATAGTAGAAGCCCAAGTGATATTTGTTGAATGAATGAATGAATGAGTTACTATTTCCTAAGCTTATGTGAAGCTTCACAGTTTACAAAGCAGTCACATACCCAATGTCTTAATAAGCTCTCTAACAATTTGTGGGATTAGGCTTTGTTATATCCAATTTATAGATAAGTTAACAGTCTGCTTATATATAATATTTTAAGTCCCTTGCTCAAGGTCATACAGATATGGGAAATAAAACTCAAGCTCTAAAGTTTTGCCTTGAAGCCCAGTTTATTAATTATAATTATAAAATACTATTATCATTGTTCTATTAGATTGCTCCAGACATTTCACTTATAGTATTTCATTTAAACTTCACAACAATGCTTTGAGGTAGGTGCTATTTTTCAGATGAGGAAACTAAAGCACAGCTGAGTAACATGCCCAAGGACACAGAGCTGGCAAGTGGTAAAGCCAGAATCTGAGTTCTACAGGCCTGATTCCAAGGACTTGTTCTCAACCAATGGGCCCACTAGACCTGGCCCCTGAAAGACAGCCAAGTAAACTACAAAAACAAATGGATAAGTATCAGATTTGTTCCAAGACCTTCTACCATTATTAAACTTTTGCTTTTGTTGCATTTAGCAGAGCTTTTTAAAGATCACAACGTGTAGAGAAGTTGTATCTCAGATGCAGTTTTCATTATGCAGTTTACCATTTTTCATCCATTTTTGAAATATTTGAAACATTTGTTCTACATTGAGAAGTCACATAGGAATCCTAGGAACTGTGGGCAGAGCACATGGATTTCCTGTCTGTTTTGCTCCTTTGGTGGCTCTGTGGAGCCTTCTGTGGCTGTGAGCTGAGGCTGCCATTCCCTCTGAGCCGCGGATTCTAGCTGCTACCACCACATGCCTTGTTTCATCAATTTCCAGCTTCATCGTATCACATAACCTACATTGTGGAACACTCAATATCTTTTCCTTTCCTTTTCTTTCCTTTTTTCAAAACTAGGCATCTATTTGATTGGATGTGATGGCACCAGAGGCAGAAATGTGGCAAAATTTTAAATGGTGAGAAATCCATCTCAGCTACCTGGGTTTTGAGAAGCACATTGTGATTCCTCGACTCACTTTGTATTGAACTGTGCAAGTCAGATGAACTAAAAAAGCTTCATTGACTTGTCTACTTGTCCGCTTGTCTCAAAGTCAGTCGAGTGTCTTTGAACGTGGCCTCTTTCCTACTCTGTCTATTCAAATTATTAACTTAAAGGTGTACATAAAGTTACATAAACATAGGTGGATGCCCTTGAAACATCAAAGGCCTCAGATTTTAAATAAGCAGTCATTCAGAAGTTGAAAGGCAAATCAGATATGGTGATTATTCCTGGTTCTTTGTAACATAAAGGTTCACAGCTCTTATTTGGGAATAGACTGTAAGAGTAGCATATGGTCTATTGATCCAGTATCCCCAAGTGCCTGGCACATAGTAGGTGCTCAAAAGAGTGGGTGCTTAGCACTGTAAGTGCTTGATAAATATGTGTTGAATCTACAGTACTCTGTCGTTTATTGCTCATTTATGATCCTGTCTCAACACACACACACATACACACACATACACACCTTAGGTTGTGAACCTTAAATGGAGAAGGTCTGTGTTTTATTCATCCCTGTGTTCCATAACACAGAGCCACCACACACAGGTGACGTTAAAAGATCACTGAATTGAATTAACAACCGTTACTTGTTTTCTTTATCTGCCCTTTCCTCACCCCACCTTGTCCATTTGGCTCTTAAGCCAGAATGCCTAAAACCATCACATAAATCTAAACAAGTATTTAAAAGCCAGAGACCTTGAAATCTTTCAAATCAGGCTGAGAATTAAATTTTAAAATTTACTGTGCCCATTTCATAAGTAGATTTAGCAACTAGCTAACTGCTATCCCAGGGAAGGAAAAAAAAAAAAAAACCCATAAGCTTAATGAATTTGGTCAGACATACAGTGTAACAGATGTCCAACATGCCGCCATGGGCTTAAATCATAAATATTATGCCTCTGTTTGGCATGGCAAGATATATTAGAATTGTTTTATCAGTCACTGGGCAACTTGCTAGATGGAAGGCGAACAATCCTAAAAAATGCGGGAGCTGCTTCTCGTAGCATCTCAAAAGCATCCCTGGAGAACCACAGATAATCTGCTTGCAGTGATTCATCAAGTTGGTCCTTTGTTTCATTAATTTGAGTGTCAAGTGCAACCATACAATAAAGAATTGCCAAGACCCGATAAGATTCTCCTCTGGCTGCTGCTTTTCGTGCCCTAACAACTGGTACTATTCATGCCTAAAGCACAAATTGAATAAACAGCTTCAAGGCTGGCAATGTCGGACAGTGTTTCCAATGTTTTGTTTTTTTCCTTGGAAGGCTAAATCATGTGCTTTCTTGCCCTCTCCCAAACACATTGGACTGATATTCGTTATTGCACCAATAATTTTAACTTTTTTATTACTAAGTATGGAAGGATGCCTCATAAGATAAAAATAGTTCCTGTTGTATCATCAGTCCAGCAATAGATTAGTGAAGATTAAAAAAGGATTGTAATGCCTTTTTTGGCCTTGAGAAAGCTCTTATTGTGCCTATGGTTCAGTTGGCATGCTGATCATTTCCATCTTAATGTAATCTTTAACATTACGCTGCCACAGGTGAGGTGTTAAGTAATACATTAAGACAACTATTTTCACTGAGCAATTTCACAAGAAATATGTTTTTAGCTAAATTAGACATTTAACAAATGTCATTTGTAATTCAAAGCAGAAGAGAGAGTACCCTTAAAAGCTATTGATGTGAATTTCCCAACATAAAATAATAATTATGTTTTTTTTATTTTAATAGACGTTCTGAATGTGAAGTTATGTACAGTGCAGGAGACCAGCATAAAGAAAGTGCCAAAGACCTTAGAATTCTCAGGAAATGAGCCATAAGCAGTTTTGTCTCCAGAAATTCTTCATTCAAATTAGGTAGAATCTACAGGTCCTGCCAAACATGTAGATACGATGTGCTGAATGTTTTTAAAACTTTAAAATCATTTAGATGAAGCCTAGGAACCTCAAAGATCAGGCAGAAACATAACCTGTGATATTTAAAGCAAATAATGAACGAAATAATTTAGATGAAATATTACAATCTGAAGATTGCATGAGAATAACTGGATTTTAAAAAGTAAAATTAAGGGGGAAGAGAAAATTAGAAAGGGTACAATTGGTAAACTGAAATAATAAATAATATTTCTAAGGGAAATAATTTCTTGATAGATGATTTCTGCATACTATGAACATAAATGCAAGTGCTGTAAATAGAGCTATTGACCTTTGGGAGGCTGGCTTGTTTTTATCAAAATCACAAAAGGGAAAATTTAGTTTGCGAATTTTCAAACATCTATGCAATTCAGAATCCAATCAGGTTCTCCTTCCTTTTTACTTGATGACTTCTTAAAAGATAAATAATCTCTCGGACCAAGAAGTGGGTACACTGGCACTGTTAACTCTCTCGCCCCAGAAATTTCACTCTGTTGAGAAGATTATTATTTGGGGGCGGGGAGGGGGATGCAGAGGTCTTTAGGACCCAGCAGGCGGCGGCAGGCGGCAGTTGTGTGGATCGCTGAGAGACTACGAGGGTCCGGTTCAGTTTTAATTCTGTCTCTAATCTCTGCAACAGCGGCGCTTCCCGGGTCCCGCGGCTCCAGCGCCCGCTCAGCCGCGGCCGCCGCCGGGCGAAAAATCAGAGCCGCGTCCGCCCCATCACCCACCATGGAAACCCTCCAAGGAAAAGTGGCCCCGGACGCGCGTGCCTGAGGATTCCGCACAAAAGAGGTGCCCAAAATGAAGACCTTGATGGTGAGTCAGTTGTGGCAACTCCACTGGGCAAGGCGGGGATCCCCGGGCTCAGCGTCCCCGGGGCGCGCCGGGGACCCTCGGAGGTGCCTAACCCTGCGCTGCGAGGCCGCCTGTTACAAAGGGACAACTTTCCACCTGCTCCGCGTCCCCTTCCGATTCTCCAGCTCCGCCTGGCTCGGAATCCCAGAGCCAGGATGGAAACTGGGGTTGCTTAAGCTCCTGAATCTGTGGGCAGAGGTCCGAGGGGCCGGCGGAGGGCTGGCGGAGCGACGCGAGAGTGGGCAGATCGCTCCGGGGACGGGGGCTACTCAAAAGCAACAGCCTGGCAAAAACTAAGTGGGGCGGGGAGGGGGGACCTTTGCAGACTTTCTTCGTTTCCTAGTCGGATTTCAAACTTGCAAGGATCACCAAGGTAAAGCCCCAGGGGCGCAGGAAAGGAGGGGTGCAAGGACTAAAGATTCCTAGCCGCTTGGCTGGAGCAGAGGGCCCCCTCCCCAAAGTGCGCGCCCACCCCTGCCCTGCGCCCGCGCTCTCTCCGGCCCGCAGCCGGGCGCCGCGCACCACCTGCCCTCTACCGAGAGATCTGGGCGGCGGCGGCGGCCGAGAAGCAGCGATGTGCCGGGAGCATCCCCTGCCGTACGCGCGGGGACTGCGCCTCTGCCCTGGCTGCGCACGGCGGGGCTGGGGCTCGGGACCCCCAGCGCCCCCGATCCTCCCCCGCCAGTCTGACCGCCGCGCAGGTGTCCCCGCCCGGCACGCTCCTCCGGGCTCCGCGCTCAGCCGCTCTCCTCTGCTCTCTCCCGCCCGCCCGCAGCGCCATGGTCTGGCAGTGTGTTTAGCGCTCACCACCATGTGCACCAGCTTGTTGCTCGTGTACAGCAGCCTGGGCGGCCAGAAGGAGCGGCCCCCGCAGCAGCAGCAGCAGCAGCAGCAGCAGCAGCAGGCGCCGGCGACCGGCAGCGCGCAGCAGGCGGCGGAGAGCAGCCCCCAGCCGCGCCCTGGGGCCCCCGCGGGACCGCGGCCGCTGGACGGATACCTCGGCGTGGCGGACCACAAGGTGACTGCGCGCCCGCCACGCACCCTGGGGATCCCGCGCACCTGAGCCTTCCCCCTTCCCGGGGACTGGGAGGCGACGTGAGTAGGTGCCGTTCGGAGGCTGGAAAGGGGAGTGGACCCGCTGGGGTGGGGTGGGCTAGTTCCTACTTGGTAGGAATTCTTATTTGGAGAAGGATGCAAAGTTTTTCAGGAAATAGGGGTGAGGTGAGTGGACCCCAAAGCCTGATTTCCTAAGAGAACCAGCCCAGGAACTAGAACCCCAGATCCCCAGAATTGCAGCTACTGGTGGATGTCCGGTTCCTGAAGCCTGGGGTTTGACAGCCAGGTCGCTCCCTCGGTGGGAGGAAACTGGGGACGTCGCGGCTACCAGCCTACCGGGAACCAGAGGAGTGAGCGCAGCCAGCCCGCGGCTGCTGCTCAGGATGGAAGGTTCCCTCTGATCTCTCCCACGCAGAGCTCTGGGCTGAGTTTCCTCGGCCCTGGGGAGCGGTGCCCAGGCAGGCGTGGAAGGCTTGAGGCACAAACTCAGCTTCCATTGGCTTGAAACTCGTCGTAGGGAGCCTGTTTTCCTCTGCCTTCCGGGAAGCTGCTGCATGGCTTGGCTAATAATTAATAAGATGAATTTTTAAAAATTGAGCCTCCTTCCCCCAGAATAATAAATCTCTGGTTGCAGCGTGTGAAGCCTCTGGGAGAATCTTAATCAAGTTTCCTGATTCTGGAGATATTTTGATACAGTTTAAATGTATCCCTTATTATTTGCAGCTGCTAATATATTTTTATTAAAAGGCAATTCCACTCGGAATCTGCTCTGTAAAGCTACAGGATTTCTTGAAATCTCCCAACTAGTCTGCCTTTTATTTTACTAAATTTTGTGGTTGTGAACAATGATACTTAGCATATACTCTTTTTCTGTGAAAAGATTAGTCTTGCCATGCATTAAAAAGCCAAACTTTTTAAAAATATGACAATCAAAATACTGCCACTCACCTGTACAACGCACAGCCCTAAGGATTTGAAGAGCACCAAAGAATTTAAGGCAGGACTCAGCCTCAGGAATTTTTATATGCCTGAGGAAAAAATAATATACCATGAAATGTGTACTGACTGATAAACTGACAGATACAGATATATAGTAAAATGCTAGATATTTAATATAAACAGTATTGTAGGGGTGCAGAAATGAGAAAGATCACTTCTCTGGAAGGATCAAGGAAAGTTTCTTTGAAAAGGTAGAACTTGCACTGGGAGGAATTTAGGGAAGCAAAAAGGAGGGAGTGATTTCATTATGAAGTGATTTCCCTCCCCCCCCTTGGCAGAGCTGGGGTTGGGGGATGGGATGTTGGTAAACTCTTAAAATCCAAAAGCATAAGGCCATCAGGTTTACAATTATAGCTTCAGTTTTCTCTCTTAGTTGTTGATTGATTACACACCTTGTATCTGCATGTGCAAGCAACCGATAAGGGCTGGAGTTCTCGGGAAGTTTAGACATGGGCTTCTGGCTGTAGTGTTTGTAACTGGTGTGTGATGGATATATTGAACTTGTGGATTTTCATGACTATTGCTTATTGGAAACAGCTATCTAACACTTCTGAAGCTGCTTGATTAATAGGGTGTCAAAAGGTAAATTTGCTGAAAGCTTCGATCTGCTTTTAGGCCAATATTCCTAATACTTTTCTTCCTATGTTTTAGGTCCAGACAGACACCAGCTATTGATAGCTTAATACAAAGTATAGTGCCTTCATACTCATTTTCAAAAAGATTTTTATTCACACAAATATATTTGATTCCATTCTCAATATATCAGAGCATTACTTCATTAAAATGAAGAACGGCCCTTTTCTATTTTGGAAAACATCCTGAAACTCTACGTGGGAAATGGAAATAATCTGTAGTAAAAGGGTTTTATAAACTGTGAAGTGCTATATGAATGATAAATGTTGTGTAAATGTCATTGGAATTCTTAGCAGAGGAAGGTCTTTGCAGATAATTTTCAATACCAATGAAATTTTTTTGTGGAAAACCAACGTCTCACAAAATTCCATGCCCAGAGGTTGCAAGGGAGCTTACCTCGCCCCAAGCAAAGGAACAAATATAAACATTAAAACTTATGCCTTCTCTGTAGACATTATCCCAACTGTCCCACCAAACTAAACGTAAACTTCTACTCAAAATGCACTCACTGATCCTCGTTACTGCTACCATTTAGCCGGCTGGAAATTGGGCAGAGATCCATTTCCCATGGCCATTTGAAGGTGCGTGTGTGAAATGTTTATGTTCTCTACAAAAGTTGCTGTTTAATTAGGTTTATTTGAGATCTTCTGTAGTCTTGCTTAGGCAGAGGTAGAAATCATTTGTTAGAATACTGCTAGGAATTTTTTTCAATTAACACAGGAGAGAGCAAGAAATGAAAGCTTTTCTGTTCTTATTATATTGCCAGATGATACTCAGATTGCTTATTTTTTTCACTCTCACATCAGGCTTCTGAAAAATTATAGGATATGCTGAACGTGATGACCACTAAGCCATATGCTGCTGCATATTGCATCAGAATCCAACAGACTTTTTATTTGCCATTGACTTCCAGAGTCGGGAGAGAGTTACAGATATTATTTAGGAAAACGTTCACACCTCCATAGCTGGAGGTCCCGAAGACTGATAAATATGTAGTGTTTATGTTCAGTTACATGATGTTATTAACGTTATAACTCCAAGATTAAATTCAACAGGTGGTCCTAATCCCTAGCACCTGAATTTCACAAATTACAGCCTGCCTGCAATGATAGTCTTGTCTCATATGGCTGCAGTTTGAATTACTATTGAGATTAAATCACTATGTACTTTTGTTGAAAGATATGCTACAAGTCAAGTCAGTGATGAGCAGCATGTGTTGAAGCTTAAAATAGCACTTTCCATGGTCGTCGTATTCCCTACTTCCTCTTTCACAAAATAATGTGATGTGAGCTGCAGTTGTAATTTCAGGATGACTGAATGAAGGCTACTCAGAGTTTCTTGTGATAATGAAGGCATTTCATTTTCTGTTAGAGTCTTCCTCTTCTTTCCCAATCCCCCTCCCCAGACCTTTTCCCACAAATGTTCCACCATCTCATTTCTATCTTGTTACATGTCTTTCACTGCAGCTACTAGCTACTCTATCTGTATTCTGCCATTACTCTCCTGGTCCCCATTTATGGAAGCCATTGATCTCTAACCAAAGTGGACCAACACAAGTTAAGAAGCTAATTTTCATGGCTTTGAGAATCTTTTGCATTTAGAGCTGCAGCGTAATGTATAACCAAACTAAAGTGCACACACACACACACACACACACACACACACACACACCCCTATTAAATTAAGCAACTCTCAGAGGAAAGCTCCACATCTTAACAGCAGTGTGGAAAGAGACATAGAATGCAATTCAGTTTCCAGTCTGGATCTGGTCTGGGTAGATAAAGTCATTTACCATCTGGTTCACCCTGTGAAATGAAACTATGAGCTGATTCCCATTTCCCGTGGACAAGCCCTTATCACAGAAGGCCCACTATCACCTGGGATGCCCTTTTCTGAGATGGCTTAAGGAAGGACAGTGATCAATGGGTTCTGAGGCCGAGCAGCTATCACCTGGCTTCAGAAGTAGCCCCCAGGGATGGATTTTACACATACCAATAATATGCTTGTCCTTGGTTCTTTCTTTCTTTAGTCACTCAGTTATGCAGACAAATAAAAACTGTTTAGTGGTAATAGTATATTATTGCTGTTAATTGGCAGATGTCCCATTGGAGTGATAAGTCATTGCATGAATGGAAAATAATCCAAAGGTAGAATTTAGGTACATGCCACCTAACTTATTCTGAAATTATGGAATAAGTATTCCTCCTTTAAAAGAGTATATAAATTCTCAAACACAAGTTCATACCATTTATTAGACCCTACTTATGACATTTGAGCCATCCAATGAATGATAAATAATTTGGATCTCAAGGAAATTCAAAGTGAGCTAATTTTCGGTGCTCATGTATTACAAAATTTAATCTGCCAATGATGATAAAACTCTGTTCCTAGAAAGCATCAACCAAAAGGAATCATGAAATAAACTATTTTTCACAGGTGAGGAGTTGCAATAATGTGGTTGCTTTTAACAGAAGTGTTTATATAACATTTATTGAAACACGCAAACTTCTTTAATTCCAGGACAGTCAGGAACGTATTTCCAGCTTCCCACAGGGGTAATCCCAAGATACCTCTGTTCTCTTATGCCTGGTAGCTGAGTTGGACCTGGCTCCCCCTCACGTTCCAGGCACGCTGGCTTTCTTGCTGATCCTTGGACACCCATTCTGCCTCAGGTCCTTTGCACCTCTCTTCTCTATTCCTGGAAAGCTCTTCCCCCAAAATCTTTTGTATGGTTGGTTCCTTCTGGTCTTTTAATCCTCAAGTCACATATTATCTTCTTGTGGACCACACTCTAAAAAGTCCCCTCCTCACCAGTCCTTCTCTGTCATATTAGCCTATTTTATTTTCCTTATAGCATTTAACAATATCTGAAGTAATGTTAAAGTTTACTTGTCTATTGCCTTCCTTCCCCACGACTAGAATCTAAGTGTTGTGACAGCAAACTCTTTGTGCATCTTCTTGACCAGTCTAACCCCTGGTTCTAGAACAGTACCTGGCAGTTAGTGGGCAAACAATACGTATTAATTGAAGAAAAGAAGAAAGTGAGGGTGGAGGAGAGAAGCACAGAACTACCTCATCTATGTCAAGCTTTTTCTCTAGAAGAAACATCAACACAGAACCAGAGGTCTAGTATGTCTCATTTTTTTCTAAATTTGTTTTGCTAAGAAAGAAATAATAGTAATAATAGAGAGGCAGAGGAGAAAGTGGTTTAAGACAAAAGAATATTTGCAAATAGGATTCAGCAATATATGTTTTAACAAACTTTGCTTATAATTCTTGTACACATTAGAGTTTGAGAAATGCTGTTTGAAATGTTTTACATCATTATGA